CTGAAGAAGAAAAGGGAAGGTGGTTCTTCGTCTTATTTCGATGACATGACATTTGAGAAGGAAGGCAGATTTTTTATTGAACTTTGTCCTTTGTTGAATGCTGAGCTGTTGGAAGTTGGCTTGACTCCTTTGAAAGTGCCTCGTTGTTGCCATTCTACTTGGTCCGAGAATCAAGATTTTCTCTTCCTGGTGGATTTACGACCTAAAGGATTCAAACGCTACGACCGAAAGAAAGTATTGGATGACTCTCATGCAAATCTTGTGCTCCAAGAATTGGCCAGGCTACACGCAGCGTCCTTCTTGTTGCGAAAGAAGATGAAGGATGATCTTGTTTCAAGGTATAGTTTCTTAGCATGGGAGTGGTTCAATTATAACGAAGAAGCAAGAAAGGAATTTAAGGTGCTCCGCCCTGGGTCTCTGATGAGCTCTTCCACACTGGCATGGGTCTCTGATGAGCTCTTCCACACTGGCATTTCTCATGGGCTACGGTACTGGGTCTGAATGGTTTAAGGATGCCACTTCTCGAGGCTGCGAAATCTTCGAGGAGCAGTTGAGAAGGGGCAGCTTCGATGTTATCGGCCATGGAGACTGCTGCACCAACAACATGCTTGTCAGGTCAGTCTGTAAATTTACCTGTCAGCTGAAATATAACCTTCAAATTTGTTTTGATTTTTTATAGAAAACATACGTATAATTATATCGATATAGATATAGATGTGTGCGTATATGTACACACGTGTGTGCATTTGTTATTCAACCATATTTACCATATAATTCGGCACATACACAAGTACATGTATATATTTTTTTTCTGTTTTCTTTCTGTTTTCCCATAGATATAATGCAAAGGAGAATCCTGTGGAGGTTCTCTTTTTGGATTTTCAGCTGTGTCGTCAGGCGTCTCTAGCTGTTGATTTGAATTATTTTTTCTTCTCGAACTTCGACCGGAAGGACAGGAAGGAGAAGATGGGACAGTATCTGTCACTTTACCACTCGTCTTTTGCGAAGGTGTTGGCATCCGCTTCATTAACCATGCCATACACCGTAGAGGAAATCACCAAGGAATTCAAGCGAAAGAATACCTATGGGATTATATGTGGCTCAATCCTCATTCCTCTCCTTGTGTCAGAGACGCAAGAAGTAATCGATTTTGACTCTGCTTCAGGTGGTTGTGCGAAAGGCTATGTAGAAGAGCTACGCCAAAATGCTGTTAGAATGTTGGCCAATAATCCCTTACTAAAACCACGGATGACTGATTCATTCGAAGACTTGAAAGAGTCTCATGGATTATAATAATCTTTGATAATCTGCTTGTGTTTGTATTAACTGGAGATATATTGCCAATAATAACTGATACTGTTAGAGGCTAGGTATGGAAATCGGTTAATAAGGTTGAAGTGAACTAGGAGGTAATAAATGAAAAGGATGATGTGAAGTGTTAGGAATGGGAGTAGATAGTATCTGATTAAGAGACTCGTCACTTATACTACATATTCTACCATTTTTTGGTAACTGATAGGAGAGTTCGGTCCATTATTTTGCGATGGGGTGTATACAAGGACAATTTACTTCTTCCTTCTAGTTGAAATATAAAATGCCCTGGATATTATTTATTGTGACTAATCTTGGAGCACAAGTTTGTATATATATCGATCAAAACCAGAACTGAAACAGGCCGAAGCGTAGCATTGCTTTCTGAGATTGGAGCGATGGGTATCATAATCTATGAGTGGCACAGAAGTAATACTTTCACGGCGCAACACAAATAAATATAATTTTTTCTATCAAAACTTTGTGATTCAAGTAATCACTTAACCACGATGTATATTTTATAGCGAAAAGAGATAACATATTTTTTCGCAGGTAGAATTGTTCATTGCCTGTCACATCTTTTTTTTTTTTATTTGATTTTTGTTTTTAATTGGTGATATAGATTCTTTGTTCTATATGCAGATTTTATCCCCCCAAAAAATAGAATTCACTATTGTTACATGTAATTCTGCTAATATCGTTTTCAGGACCATTTTCCTTTATAAGAGTAGTTAAACGTGGATACATGCATTTGGCTTTATGTACAGATGTATACATTCGTATGTAAATAATATAGATTTATATATCCCTACGTTTGTATGCTATATCCATATATATATATATATATATATATATATATATATATATATATATATATATATATATATATATATATATATATATATTTATTTATATATATATACATATATATATATATATATATATATATATATATATATATATATATATATATATATATGTATATATATGTGTGTGTGTGTGTGTGTATTGAAATATGCGTATGTATTTAATTTTCAAATCCTTTGTTCCATGTGAAAGTATTGGGCGGAAAAATCAAACTACAAAATAATATATTGTAACTCTATCAGAAAAATATTTTAAAAATGTAAAAGCAATATTTCAAGAGAATCTGGGACACGTTAGATTTTGAGTTGCAGATACATGGAAAGACCTTTGTCAGCATGATTCGTGGCATAAAAAAGTGAAATGTAGAGGTCTATATGACATATGTATTGTTTTGATGTATTGGCAGTCTGTTGCCGTATTTGATAGACCTAGAGGACTGATGTATCCAATATATTTGGCACTGAATTGTTGGCATGCTTTTTAATTTGCACTACGAATAGGTAGCTCTAATATACATGTACTACATTTTTAGCAACATAACAACCATTACTGATAAATGCCCATAAGGGAACCCCCATACTTGCTATTCATCATGGTCACCAATATTTATCATAAAAGTAATAAAATGTTGAGACAAACATCCAAAACCTCAAACGTCATCGGTTTCCTTCCAAGTGAACTACAAAACTTTATCAGTTAATCTTATCACAATCTGTGTTCGAAGGAATAAAAAGTAGGGTACATATTCAGACTGATCAAATGCAGTGATAAATTGGATAACTGTACTGTTACACTGTATTATTTAGTTCTAGTCAATCGACTTCAGATGTTGGAAGTGAAAGGAAAGGAGAGAAATGCCATGATTATCACGAAAGGAAATATGAGATAGGATGTAATTTATTGAAGGTCGGTAAATCAACTCGTGTAACACTTGAAGGAAATGCAGTGCAATGGAAAGGTATTTACCATTTGTTTCGATGATTAAAAAAATGCAATGTTTTATTACAGCCTGATTTTTTTTCCAGGCACAATGGGCCATTCATGTTTCTTCTTGCAGCACTCCCGTGATTTATTTGTTTTTGTCATCATCACTACGTTCCATATTCTCTTCTTGGTAATAATCATGAGTATTGGTCATTAGCTGCACACTTTTCTTCCGCAGCCACGCTGGACTTCGGGAACATGAGCAAGTACCCGTCTCTCTCTGAGGCCATCGTGACAAAGGCGTTGCACGAAGACAGGGGAAGTGACGCTCATCTCGTGTCCTGGGTCACCGAGGACTTTCTTGGGGAAGGCGACAATTACGTCAGTGATGTTACCAGCGTCAAAGTCAAGTACACTCAAGGTGGAGAGACTCATGACCTAAGTTACATCGTAAAGTTGAAAAGGAAGAGGGATGGAGGATCCCCCACTTACTTTGATGATATGACCTTTGGAAAGGAGGCCAGATTCCTAACTGAAATTTGCCCTTTGCTGAACGCCGAACTGCTAGCAGCTGGACTGGCTCCTCTGCAGATACCACGTTCTTGCCATTGCGCGGTTTCTGAGAATCAAGATTACTTATTCCTAGAAGATTTACGATCTAAAGGCTTCAGACGTTATGACCGTAGGAAGGGAATAGATTACTTACATGCAAAGTTTGTCCTTCAAGAATTGGCCAGGTTACACGCAGCATCTTTCTTGTTGCGCAAGAAAATGGAAGAAAGCATGGTTACTAAATACAAATTCCTTGCATGGGAATGGCACAACTACTCCGATGAAGCACGCAAGGAATTCAAGACTCTCTTCGCTGGAACACAAACCAGCACTTCAGCACTGGCAAGCGTGATGGAATACGAGTCTGTGTCAAGGTGGTTCAAGAACACAGCTTCTCGTGGTTGCGAGGTCGTGGAGGAGCAACTGGACAGAAGCAATTTTGACGTGATTTGTCACGGCGATTGCTTCACCAGCAACATTTTGTTTAGGTTAGTTTTGGATGGGTATTATTATTAAAAAAAAAAAAAAAAAAAAAAAACGTACTGTTAAACAAATCAGTGCTTATTCTAACAAGAACAAGGTATATTTGTTCATGTTATTATTATTATTATTTTTTTTTTTTTTTTTAGGTACAATGAAGAAGGACAACCTGTTGAAGTGATGCTGTTGGATCTTCAAGTTTGCCGAGTATCATCTCTGGCTATTGACCTGAATTACTTCATCTTCTCAAGTATACCGCGCAGTGGAAGAAATAAGTTTGAGGAATACTTGTCGCTATACCATTCATCATTCATGCAAGTCATGACAGCCGCGGGGTGTGATATGCCCTTTACAAAAGAAGAAATCAGCCAAGAATTCAAAACAAAACACACGTACGGGTTTATGTTTGCTTCGATCCTCATCCCTATCCTTGTGTCGGAGGCACAGGATGTACTGGAATTTGACTCAGCCACGGACGGGCATGCGGCAGATTTCGTCGAAGAGTTGCGGCAGAATGCTGTGAGGATGCTGGCCAACAATCGGTTGCTGAAGCCACGTCTGAAGGATCTCTTTGATGACATTGTAGAATTCCAAGAGCTTTGAACCTGACGACATTGTTATATATATCTCTCTCTCTCTCCTTCTTTCCTTCCTTCCTTCCTTCCTTCCTTCCTTCCTTCCTCCCCCCCCCTCCCTCTTCCTCTCCCTCTCCCTCCCTCCCTTCTGCCTGTAAGTTGTGAAAACAAAAGCAGTGAAGCTGTTCTATAATAGTAGTACTTCAGAAAATATATGAACTTTGTGTAGCATTTTGTATAATGCACAAGGTACAATAAAAATACTAAAGTGCGAAGGTGGAACCTGCTTTGCAATCTTAACCTTGATATAAGCAGTACATGCACATACACACTGACATGCATACACACACATACACATATATATATGTGTGTGTGTGTGTGTGTATGTTATATATATATATATTTATATACATTTAGCTATATTATATGTATATATATACATATATATATATATATATATATATATATATATATATATATATATATATATATATGTAGCTATATTATATGTATATATATACATATATATATATATATATATATATATATATATATATATATATATATATATATATATGTATATATATATATTTATATATATTTACATAAATATTATATATATATATTATATATATATATATTTTATATAACCTTTTGTATGTATGTATAATATGTATTCATATATATATATATATATATATATATATATATATATATATATATATATATATATATATATATATATATATACATATATATATATATACACATATATATATATACATATATATATATATATATATATATATATATATATATATATATATATATATATATATATATTTATATATATATATATATATATATATATATATATATATATATATATATATATATATATATATATATATATATATGCAATGCATACAGATATCTTTCATTCTATCTCTTATTTTATGGTATGGAAGTACATATGTATAAAGTGATGGATGTATTCAGCTTTTAAATGTTTCAGTTTCTGTATGTTATGACTTACATAGCAAAATGCAAAGGGCTGTATAGTTATTTTACTAATAGGTTACCTTCATGCCTTTTAGACAAGGATTGAAAAAAAATATCATGAATTTAAATACAGTGCAGAATATAGTAATAATATATTGGTTAGCTTTAGATAAAGGTAATATTTTACACATTTTTCCCGTGTATTTACGAATATGCGGACACATATATCAGACCTCAAATCTGGAGGTAGATGCTTCATGGGACAGGATGCCTGTATTCTTGAATGAGATTCTTACTTCAAGTAATGATAATTGCTAAATATTAAACTGCAATGCAACTGATACAAAAGTTGAGGAAAATATAGCTATGTAGATCATTACATTCCAAATTTTTCTAACTTTAATGGTTATATATTTAACCACAATTTGTAACTTTACGCAGGCCTGCTGCAATCAGTGCATTCCCAAATGGCGTTGGTAATATTGACAGCTCTGACCATCCAAATTGCTTCCTGTATTCCTTAATGTGCTTATATTTTGATAGGGGTGCATTGTAATATTGTTTGTTTAAACTAGTTAACCC